TGAGGGTGACCCAAAAAGAAATTACGTTCACCATCATTCAACACTTTCACCTCACTCACACATCACTGTTTTGGAGAGGTGCTCAGAATACAACATTTTAGAAACATATACGTATAAAGATACACAACATATCCCTCCAAACTGCCAATATCCCAGACTCCTCCTTTAAAGTGCAGGCACTGTACTTCCCATTTCCACGACTCATGTCCGGCTATATAAAAATAACCGGTTACCCTGAATCCCTTCACTAAATATTACCCTGCTCACTCTCCAACAGATCGTCAGGTCACAAATACCATTCGTTTCCATTCACTCCTATCTAACACGCTAACACATGCTTGCTGGAAGTCCAAGCCCCTCGCCCACAAAACCTCCTTTACCCCCTCCCTCCAACCTTTTCGAGGACGACCCCTACCCCGCCTTCCTTCCCCTTCAGATTTATACGCTCTCCATGTCATTTTACTTTGATCCATTCTCTCTAAATGACCAAACCACCTCAAAAACCCCTCTTCAGCCCTCTTACTAATACTTTTATTAACTCCACACATTCCCCTAATTTCCACACTCCGATTTTTCTGAATTATATTTACACCACACATTGCCCTTAGACAGGACATCTTCACTGGCTCCAACCGCCTCCTCGCTGCAGCATTTACAACCCAATCTTCACACCCATATAAGAGTGTTGGTACTACTATACTCTCATACATTCCCTTCTTTTCCTCCGTAGATAACGTTTTTTGTCACTACATATACCTCAATGCACCAGTCGCCTTTTTTCCTTCATCAATTCTTTAATTAACCTCATCCTTCATAAATCCATCCGCTGGCACATCAACTCCCAAATATCTGAAAACATTCACTTCTTCCATACTCCTTCTCCACAATTTGATATACAATTTTTCTTTATCCAGCTCATTTGATACTCTCATCACCTTACTCTTTTCTATGTTTACTTTCAACTTTCTATCTTTACACACACTCCCGAACTCGTCCACTATCCTTTGCAATTTTTCTTTAGAATCTCCCATAAGAACAGTATCATCAGCAAAAAGTAACTGTGTCAATTCTATATATATATATATATATATATATATATATATATATATATATATATATATATATATATATATATATATATATATATATATATGTATATGTATGTATATATATATATATGTATATATATATATATATATATATATATATATATATATATATATATATATATATATATATATATATATATATATATATATATATATATATATATATTTACGTCGTGCCGAATAGGCAGAACTTGCGATCTTGGCTTAAATAGCAACGCTCATCTTGCCATATAGGACAAGTGAAAATTTGTGTATGCAATAATTTCGCCAAAATCATTGTGAACCTAACGAAAAGAATATATTTGATTGTGTTTGTTCAGTACTAAATTATTGTAAACGTATTTAAAATATATTTAGTTGGGTTAGGCTAGAATAAATTGCTCTTGTTATAATAAGGTTAGGTAAGTTTTCTAAGATTCTTTTGGTGCAAAATTAATTTACATTAACATTAATGAAAAAATGTATCTTTAAACGTATTAGAGAAAATTTCAGAAAGGACTTAATTTTATATGAGTTCTTGCTAATTGACCAGTTTTACATATTCGGCACGACTATATATATATATATATATATATATATATATATATATATATATATATATATATATATATATATATATATATATATATATATATATATATATATATATATGTATATATATACACATTCATATATATATATTTATAATATATATATATATATATATATATATATATATATATATATATATATATTATATATATATATAATATATATATATATATATATATTTATATTATATATAATCATGTATGTAAAACAAGTCAGCCGTCTCCCACCGAGGCAGGGTGACCCAAAAAGAAATTACTTTCATCATCATTCAATACCTTCACCTCACTCACGCATCACTGTCTTGGAGAAGTGCTCAGAATACAACATTTTAGAAGAGTATACATATAAAGATACACAACATATCCCTCCAAACTGCCAATATTCCAAACCCCTCCTTTAATTGCAGGCATTGTACTTCCCATTTCCAGGACTCAAGTTCAGCTATATAAAAATAACTGGTTTCCTTGAATCCCTTTATTAAATATTACCCTGCTCACACTCTAACAGCTCGTTAGGTCCCAAATACCATTCACTCCTATCTAACATGCTAACACACGCATTTACAACCCAATCTTCACACCCATATAAGAGTGTTGGTACTACTGTACTTTCATACATTCCCTTCTTTGCCTCCATAGATAACGTTTTTTGTCTCCACATATACCTCAATGCACCACTCGCCTTTTTTCCTTCATCAATTTTATAATTAACCTCATCCTTCATAAATCCATCTGCTGGTACGTCAACTCCCAAATATCTGAAAACATTCGCTTCTTCCATACTCCTCCTCCCCAATTTGATATCCAATTTTTTTATCTAACTCATTTGTTACCCTCATCACATTACTCTTTCCTATGTTCACTTTCAATTCTCTACCTATACACACACTCCCGAACTCGTCGACTAACCTTTGCAATTTTTCTTTAGAATCTCCCATAAGCACGGTATCATCAGCAAAAAGTAACTGTGTCACCTCCCATTTTGTATTTGATTCCCCATAATTTAATCCCACCCCTCTC